TCCTGCATCTGGAGTGGGGGTGTCGACGGCTACAAGCTGTTGAGAAGGGCCAGGTGAGGAAGGAGGGGTGGAGGTGTTGCCCTCAATGTTAAGAGAGGGAGAGAGTAGGAAGAGATGTCCCTAAGGTACAGCCAAGAGCAAGCTGAGAGCTTATGGGTAGGGACTAGAGAACGAGGCAACAAGAGGAACTTTGTGGTTAGTGTCTACTCCAGGCTGCCTGATCAAGGGGAGCCCACTGACCAAGCTTTCTTCTTCCAGGTCCAGGAGGCATCACGCTCACAGGCTCTCATCCTGCCTGGGGCTTTCAACCACCCCGATCCCTGCTGGAGAAGTAACATGGCAAGCTGTAGGACATCCAGAAGATGGGTGGTAACTTCTCAAGCCAGGAAATTTACACTCCTACCCGAGGGGACGCAAGACTGGACCTGATGGTCACCAGTGCAAGCGAGCTCCTCAGGGATGTCAAGACTGGAGGCAGCCTGGGCTGCAGTGACCACACACTGGTGGAGTCCACAGTCCTAAGGGATATGAGTCAGATGAGGAGCATAGTCAGGGAAGAAAACTACCAGCTCTTCAAGGAGTTAGTCAGTGGGACCCCCTGGGAAATGGTCCTCAGGGACAAGGGAGCAGGACAGAGCTGGCAGATCTTGAAGGAAGCCTCCCATAGAGCACAAGAGCTCCTGATCCCCAGGTGCAAGGAATCATGGAAGGAAGGGAAGAGCCCAGCAGGGCTGAGTTGAGACCTGCTGGGCAGGCTAAAAGACAAGAAGGAACTGTACAGGGAGTGGCAGCAGAGACAGGGATCTTGGGAAGAGTACATGGACACTGCCCAGTTGAGTAGAGATGAGGTCAGGAAGGCCCAGGGGCAGCTGGAGCTGAACTGGGCAAGGGATGCAAAGAGTAATCAGAAGGCCTTTTACAGGTAGGTCAGCCAGGAAAGGAAGGTTAAAGAGAGCATCCCTCTGATGGGTATGAGAGGTAAACTAATGACAACAGATGAGGGGAAGCCTGTTATGGAAGGGTTCTGGATTGTGATGTCCCAGGAGGCTCAGCAGGAGGTGGGGCAGGAGCAGCCATCCCTTGTCTCAGGGGAGTGTGTTTGGATTTGGGTGGCCCCAAAAGGAGTGAAATCCGCCTGATTCAGGGGAAAGCAGCAATAGCCTTGAGCCACCAGATGGAGCAGAGACTCCAGGTTCCATTGGATGGCAAGGTCACTGCCTCACTTGCCAGGAGGCAAATGGATGAAAGCAGAGCAACAGGGTGACAGTGTCTGTGGTGTCTCTCAGATAGGATCTGTGTTTGGGCACAGGAAGGGACTGGAGCTGGGTTGGGAGGATTTGGAGATCGAAGAGGTCAGGGTGGCCTTCCCATGGAGTAACCAGGGCTTCAGATGGGACCCCCTTGCTTTCTCAACTCCTTCTCAGAGAGGAGCCCAGGGGTGGCTGCATCAACCTCAGACCCAGGCAACTGTTGAGGACTAAGGGTCCCAGGGGAGTTGGGGATGTTGGAAGTGAAAGGGGAACCCCTCACATTCCGTCCCAAGGTTCAGAATAGACACCCCCTCTCACTCCAAACTCCACTGGAAAATCAGGGAAGATCTACCCCTAGTCCCAGACCTGGTCAAGGGTTTCTGTCTAAGGCTTTGGGGATGTTGGGATTTCAGTGTAGTGCTTAATGCAACTTTGTGCCCCTAAAATGGGGTATGCTGAATGCAGTTTGAATAAATTAACACTAATCTAGGAACTGACAGTACTTATAGACTAACCCATTTCATAGGCTAGAAGAGATTAATAAACTTCAAAGATTAAGTTATTGGCTAAAATCCTTAATTTATAAACTAAGTGTCCCAGAGCAGGGGGGTCTATAGCACCCCAGTGGGGCTCCCCATGCTGGAGGCAAGGGGAGGAACTGACCCGTGGCCAGAGAAAGGCTGCCAAGATGGGCTTAAGAGTCACGTGTAGAGAGGCTGAGAGGCCTGGGTCTCTTCATCCTCGTGCAGTGCAGGCTGAGGGAGGAACAGTCATAGCCTGACACAGCTTGAAAATCTGTTTCTGAAATGATGGCACTTTTTGACCTGTGGTAAAGAGCATGAGAAAGGAAAACCACTAGAAACTACAGCTTTGGTGGTCCGGAGAGAACCTGAGGGTAAAGAACTTTCATTCTGAGATTTGTGCTCTGGTACAAGAGGTACCCAGAGGGAGTCTGGGTCAGCCCATGGCTTTGTGTTTCTGGGAAGAGCTGGTGAGGATGAAGAGACAGCAGTCCAGGGAGGGACACCCTCCGGTGAGAAGAAGGTGTGGAAGCACCTTGGGTGACTTCAGCCTGCAGGACAATAGGCAGAGGTGTGGGACAGTGCAGGATGGGCTGTGGTGCAGTTGGCGAAGGCCATCATTTGCCTGGAATTGTCCTCAGTGGGGCCAATCAAGGCTTCAAGGGACTTTGGGCTTTGTTCTAACTTTGATTTCATGAGAGAATTCTTTAATCTCCTCTTGGTGCCTGAGGTTAAGGACTCAGCCCCAAATGTATCATTGTGCTCATTAAATTATAGAAAGCCCTAATGAGCTGTGTCTCTTCTTATCATTTTCTTCAAGAAACTCCCCACTGCAGAATGCTGCTGTCACTTCACCTGGAAACTGAAACAGGAGAGAAAAGACCCTCGACAGTAAAATACCTCTTTTAAAACTTCTTGGAAAGCTTCATCCTTTAAGGACCCAGCTGAAACATCTCCAATCAGTTGTCCAAGTCTGGAGCCCTGGCTAGGGTGAGTCTCTGGGAGCAGGAGAATGCAGATGAAGTTGTTGGAAGGATCTCCTAAATCTGGCAGAACCCTGAGCCTGTGGGATCTGTCTGTGGTGGGGAGGAGGAGGTGCTGCAGAGCAGGGCTGGTCTAGTGCAGCGTGTGAGGGACAGGGCATGGCGGGTGCCTTCTGCTGGGTGCCAGCTGCAGGGCTGTGAAGGTGGGTGTGCAGGCAGGGGTGGCCAGGGCTGTGCTGGCCAGCAGGGTTCGGGGGCGGGGACTCGGCTGCCTGCCAGGTTCAGCTCTCAGCCTGTCTGCAGAGCTCCCTGCGGTGTGGTGGGGATGTCCTGGTGTTGCATGACATCAAGCGGATTTTCCCTCTCCGTGGGTAGAACAGTGCTGGAGGTTGGATTCTGAAGGTGAACTGCTGGCAGAAGAATGCTGAGAATATCCTGAGGGGTTTAATCCTTG